GAGAGGGAGGCGAGGAGCACCTCCCAGCCCCCCGATCTTAGTAGCAAAATTGAGCACGTCGGGTCCCCTTCCCCCCAGTGTCTCCTGAGGAATAAGGAAAAATAAAAAAGCCCTCAGGCTTGAGAAGTTGATGAAAAACAAGGCTCTTTCTCCTAAAAGTTAGAATCCATAGCCTTTTGAAATTGCGTTTGAAATCCAGTTTTCAGCATTAGCTAGAATACCTGTTTAAACAGATCGGCTGGGGGAAATCCGGTCGGATCTGGGGGCCGGGGGTGAACGTTTGATTTCGGAATGTGAAGAAAGAGACTTTAGAGTGTCCCGCCACGTCCTCCCGCCTGCGTCCCCGGGTTAGCAGTCGGTGACTTTCTGCTCGGCGGCCAGTCGGGGCCAGGCCCTGGGGGTGGGGCCTGGGGGAGCGGTTGGGTTCGTTAGAGGAGGGGGCTTCCCCGAGGCCCGGGAGGGGACCGGTGGGACTGTAGCCAGAAGCCGTGGAGGGCGGCGGAGGACTCCGGCCAGAGTGGCCGGTGGTCCTGGTGAGCTCCAGGGACAGCCTGGGTCGGGGGCGACTTTTGGGAGAGGAGCTAGGGTAGGTGCCGGAGGCTGCAGGGGCCTTGGAGGAGCCTGAATAGCACTGTGGTGCCCGGTGCTGGGTGCTGGGGGTCAGGGACGCAGTTTGGTGACGCCCAGAGGGTAGGTGCCAAAGCTTTGAAGAGGCTGGAGGGAAGTTTGAGCCCGAAGGTCAGGGCCCGGACCTCACCAGGGGTGCGCGGAGCAGGTGCTGGCCGGTGAGTGTCCCCTTGAGTAGGGGCTGAGCGCCCGGCTTGGACGCTTGGTGGCCGGCGGCGCCCGGCGTGCTGCGTTGGAAAGGGCTTCCGGCGTGTTGACCATCTAGGCGGGCGCAGACCCACGGCTTAGCTGCCCCTCCCGTGCCTGGTCCAGCGTCAGATCTGCGTCCTTCCCGGAGAGTATCTGTCTCTGGTGTCCCGGGGGTCTCCGTGCTGAACTGCGAAGGCTGGGGACCCCTCCCCGTTCCCTTCCACAGTGAAGCAGGTCCCACGTTGTAATACCAGTGGCTCTGGGATTCCTTGCTATTTCCTTCGGCTTCAGCTTGCTGTGAATATGTAGACATTTTTGATCGAAAGAGGGGACGAGCCCCCAAAACAAGACACTTTGCTGTATTTCTGGAAGACCCCACTGACTGTGCCAGGTTGACAGTTCTTTTTTTTTTTTTTTTAGTTTTTCTCTGGTACCGGGAACCGAACTCACGACCTTGCGCTTGCCAGGCAGGCGCTTTGCCGCTGAGCTAAATCTCCAGCCCTCAGGTTGACATTTCTGCTTCAGTGGTTTGACCTTTGAGCCTTAAGCTGGGAGCAGGTGGGCGTGGCTGTGCCCTTTGGTGACCGGTAACTTAGGATATTGCCACCACCCTGGGCTTCCGGGGCCACTTAGGAATGTTGTAAAGTCCAGAGCAATGGGACGCAGGGCAACTCCACGTTGGTGGTGTGTAGAAAACGTAGAAATCTAATTTGGTGAAGTTTAAGCGGCTTATTTGTGGAGTTTAAACTTAGATTATGTTTATGAAACTAACAGGCTAAAGAGACATGGTGGTTGGTTGTGGACTTTTGTTTGGAGGGAAGCGACTGGCGGTGGCTAACAGGGATTGAAAATGAAATCTGGAGGTGCGATGTTGGAGAAATGTCTCCTTTATTATAACAATAAGTTCGTTACTAGGTGGTAGGAGTTGAAACATACAAGGTCTAGAGATTAATCTGAGTCACAAAACTTCAGAAACACAAACTTGTTTCACTTGAGGATTATAATGTTCTCTCACACACACACTCACCCCCCGTTTTATTTTTCTTCATAACTCACTTTTGTTGTTTGTTTGGAGGACTGGGGATTGAATCCAGAGCCTTTACGCTGAGCTACATCCGCATCTGTTTTCTAATTTCTTTATTTTGAGACAGTTCTCACTAAGTCGCTAAATTGTCCAGGCTGGGCTCAAACTTGTGACCCTCCTGCCTCAGCCTGCTAGAATGGTGAGATTACAGGGGAGTGCCACCACTCTTCCTCGCTTTCTAATGCGCAGTCTACTTAGGGGTTATTTGTTTGCTTTCCCTTACTAAATTGCTTGTTGACAAGGCAAGTGTTTTCCCTGTGATGGTGCCTCGCACATAACATATGCTCAGCAGACATTGGTGGGGTGAATAGCTGGATGAATCTGCTCTTGCCTGGTGGATCCCACTTTTTCTTCGAGGTTGGGTCTGTCTTGAGACCCCCCTTTCCAGTGAGGCTGAGCTGATCCCGTGGCAGAGCTCGCCCTCTCTCTTCTCAGCTTCCTGTGTAACTGGCAGTGTGACCGCTGTGGGAAGCTGAGGGGTGGGTGGGAACAGCGTCTTCCTCCTCCGCCTGTCTTTTCTTTAATTAACGTGTTCAGGGGCAAGGGTCATGGCACTGACTTCTCCAGTGGACAGGCAGGGCAGGCACCGGTGGTCCTGCTCATGCCCTCCTGGAACCTTTCTCTTGAGGGCGGGGAGGGGACAGCTGGAGAATGAGGTTATGGGCTCTGGGCAGTGCCCGTGGGCTGCCACCCTCGCTGAGTTGGAGCCTGGTGTCTCTGGTGACGACTCCTGAGCTCTGCTGGAGGAGGCGCCTTTGCTACCCTTGGGGGAGTAAAGCTGCCCGGTGTTGACTGGATGCAGTCTCCAGCCCGTGGGAATGCTCTTATAAAACTTCAGTCGGCCCTGGGAGAACAAAGAGAGAAAGATGCCAGCTTGTGGAAGCTGGGATCCTGCTCCACATCCCCCCCGCCTGGGTACTGCAGAACCCTTAGCCGCAGAGACCAGTGTCTGTGCCCGGAAGTGCCCCCCGGAAGCATTTTATTTTCTTGGGCGGTGCTCGATCGTGTGCACGCCTGTGTCATCTTGCAGTTCTTTTTCCAGAGAGGCAGCTTTGTCTAGTTACAGTCGGACTAGACGGTCGCTGTGTTCTGCTTTGCGGGGTACGTGCCTGACGTCGCCTTTCCCACCGTCGCACCTGCGCTGGGTGGGCTCACCAGTCCCCGAACGGTCAGGGTCCGGGAGGAAGTGTGGGTGGTGGGAAAGAGTGGCAGATGCAGCTTTGGAGTCAGGATGAGCCTGTGGTTACCCGTCTGGGCCGAGAGGCCTAGGCTATTTTATCTAGTTCTTGGAGCCTTAGTTATAGCCAAGCATTAAGTTGGGGCAGTGATGAAACTGCTTTGGAGGACTAGAAACTGTTGTTCCACAGGAGGCGCTGTCCTTTTTATTTCTACCAGCTATGCACAGGGTTCCGATTAAAGTAAGGGCTAGGGCCGGGGATGTAGTTCAGCGGCACAGCACCTGCCCGGCATGTGCGAGCCCTGAGTTCTACTCCCAGTACAAAAAAAAAAGTAAGGGTTAGACTTACACAGGATACCTGGTACTTAGCAGGCTTGAGAAAAGAAAAGCCGTATTTACAAAAATTAACTTACTGTGCCTGGTGCAGGCACACATCTGTAATTCCAGCACTTGGGAGGCTGAGGCAGGAGGATGGCAGTGAGTTCGAGGCCAGCCTGGGCAGCATAATGAGACCCTGTCTCAACAACAACAATAACAACAAAAATCCCAGTTTAAGTAACACAAGGGCTTCTGCAAATGAAAGTAGAAGGAAGCTGCATTGCTGTGAAAGATACAGAAACATTCACTTATCTGTTAGGGAGGCGCAGGGCGGGGACCAGAGCTTTTGGCCGGCCCTTTTCAGTGAGTCCGAAGGTGCAGCCAGGACGGGTCGGTCCACCGCAGAGCACATCTCCACACTTTCGCACACCTTCCCCTCCTCTCCCCTTGGTCCCCTTCCCTGTGCAAAAGATCTCCTTCCCTGTTTCCTGTCATCTACCTTTTATTTTACTCTTTATCTCCCGGGGCGGGATGAAACCCCGGGGCGTGGCGTGATTTCGGCCAACTCTGCGTGGTCATGGGTATCGGAAGGCGTCCGCAGGGAGCTGTGCCTACCCTGGAGAACGTCTAGTGTGCGCAGGGCATGTCTTTCCCTGGGGTTTAAAGCTATTTTTAGAAATGCACCTAATCCATTTAGGTACTTTTGTTTGAAATGAAAAGATCTATTTTGGACTTCTTTTCCTTTCTAGAGAGGAAGTCATTTCAGAGGTATAAATTCAGTTCATGCTCTTTGTCTCATCCTCATTCTCCGAAGTGGGGTTTCAGACCACAGCCCAGTCCTGCTGGGGTCTCTGTGTCTTTTTTTTGAGACAGACTCTGGCCTGGCCTTGAACTTGCTATGTAGCCCAGGCCGGTCTCGTTTACGTTGATTCTCCTGCCTCAACGTCCTGTGTGCTGAGATTATAGGCAAGCAACTGCATAGGCTCAATGTCTTAACTTGCAAAATATCTGCTAACAGTTACTGTCCAGCTAACCAAAGCAGCTTTTGTTTTGTGGAAGACTTCATGCTTCAAACTTGTGTTTTCCAGTTGTACCAGTGAAGAGGGAAAAACCCTGAAGAGCGCTGTATCCGATGAGCTCACAGCCCAGAGAGGTGGCGATGGTGGAGTAGGGTGATGTTAGACCATGGACAGCGTGACCTGTGCCTGGGGCAGGTACAGGAGTGCAAGAGACTCTAACGGAGATGCTGACACCTTGAGGTGTCCCCAGGACGTGGGACCTTTGCAAGATTGCAGGGTGGAAAGTGCAGGAAACAGTCTTGCTGGCCCAGGGCGCAGAGCATGGGAGAGCCCTTGCCTAACGGGGAGAGAACCTGTGCAAAAGCCCTGAGGCCACTGTGGATCTGTTTTGGATAAGTTTGAGAGCAGGAAATGGGAGTGTGGGCTGAGGCAGTTTCGGGGCCAGGAGGAAATCCCAGTGTATCTTCCTTGTGGCTAGTGGAAAATGGAGGCAGGGACTGAGGACGTGTTCATTTGGCGGTGAAGTCGGAAAGGGCAACAGTGGATCCTTGTTAAAAGTGTTTTGCTGGGCCTGGTGGTGCATGCTTGTAAGCCTGACACTTAGGAGGCTGAGGCAGGAGGATCACCTCGAGTTTGAGGCCAGCCTGGGCTACATAGACCCTGTCTTAAAAAGACAAAACACAAACAAAAGTAAAAAAATAAAAATGTCCTCTGTCAGCAGACAGAGGCTTTGTGGCAGGCTGGACATCTGGGTGCTGGGAACTTGGGGGGCAAGGCAGGTCAGGAGGAGGCCCGGGGTAGGGACCGTGTCCCCAGGACTCCGGGAGCCACTGCCCTGGGGATTTTGCCGTAGCAGGAAAGTTGACTGCTAGACGAGGTTCAGGGAACGTGTCGAGTCTTCCTGTGCCGTGAGGAGAAACACTATTTGGTGGCTGCGTCTGAGGCCTGGCACGGAGCTTCTGAAACTCTGATGACTTCCTGCGGGCCTGGGCGCCAGAGCGCCTTTGTCCTGACGCCTGGCCTCTGACCCTGCTTCCTGACCCTGAGCTCCTAGGTCCCTTGGCACGGCCCGTGACAGCAGCACCTTTTGTTCTAATGAGGCCGTCCCCGCTGGGCTGG